CTCCCCATATGCTTGCAGCCTGGAATTCACATTGATCTAGTCCGAATTGATTCTAAAACTCTCTGGTGGGACTTCCCTGGTGGTGCAGTGGTTAAGAATCCACCTGCCAATGCAGGGGACATGGGTTCGAGCCCTGGTCCGGGAAGATCCCACATGCTGTGGAGCAGCTAAGCCCGTGCGTCACAACTACTGAGCCTGCGTGCCACAACTACTGAAACCCGGGTGCCTAGAGCCCATGCTCCACAACGAGAAGCCACCACAATGAGAAGCCTGTGCACTGCAACGAAGAGTAGCCCCTACTCACAACTAGAGAAAGCCCCCGCACAGCAACGAAGACCCAACACAACCAAAAATAAATAATAAATAAAAAAAATAAAATAAAATGTTTTAAAAATTAAAAAAATAAAACTCTCTGGTATATTGATTACCTGGCTTTTTTCCAGTTGTAGCCAAAGCAGAGGCATCCTGTGACCTGTTACATCCTATTTGAAAGTGGAAATCTTAATGTAAAATTAAAAGAAAGAAATTTGGAGGTTTTTTTCCCTCAAGGATTTTATATTTATACCTCTTATATGAAAAATATTCTCAAGTGACAAGCATTATATACAGTGTTATTACCTTTTTATCATTGCTAGAAGATGATTTTGGAATTGCTTTTTGGTTTTTCTTCATTTTCAGGATATTTTATTAAGGAGACATTTTACAAAGGTTCAGTAACAGAAACAAGTGAGGGTGCAGTTCTCAGGGGTGGTGAGAGTGGGGTGCCATCACACCGCATATCTGAAGGGGCAGGGGATGGAGGAGCTGCAGAACTGGAGAGAGAGTTGTATGGATGGGCCACCTGACAAGAACTGTGGGGCATCCCCCACAACAGGGAGAGAGTTGGGAAGGACAACCCTGACCTCACTCTCCATCATTCTCTAGGTGTCTTGCTGGTGCCTCCCATTAGCCAAACCGAACCAGGAGCCAGAATTCAGGGGGTCCCTATGAAAGGTCCATTGGGATTGCTTCTTAATATATCATTTAAACCAACAGCTCTTCCATTTAGCTCTGTTCTTTCTTCAATGATAAGCCCCATTTGGATGGCAGCCATCTGTGAAAACTTATGTATTAATGACTATAAAAGATTTCCCTCAAAAGGTAAATATAGTGCTAACAATTAATCTTTATTTTTCCTGCTTGAAAAACAGAAATTCTAAAGATCTTTTTTATTGATACATGTAACATAGGACTTCAAAAAAGTAGCTTTCTTTTTCTTGAGACAGGTCTTTATAAGAGGTAAATTCTCTGTGTGTGTGGTTTTGTGTTTTCTACATTTGCTTAGACATAAAAAGCCTTCACCCAAAGGAGACTGCTGGAAAACTGGAGATAATTCAGTTATTTTTTTTTTGTTTTTGTTTTTTTGGTTTTTTTGTGGGTTTTTTTTTGTTGTTTTTTTTTTTGTTTTTTAAACATCTTTATTGGGGTATAATTGCTTTACAATGGTGTGTTAGTTTCTGCTTTATAACAAAGTGAATCAGTTATACATATACATATGTTCCCATATGTCTTCCCTCTTGCGTCTCCCTCCCTCCCACTCTCCCTATCCCACCCCAATTCAGTTATTTTTAAGAACACGCTATTAACTGAGAAAATTAAATCTAGTCAGTGATAACATTTATCAAGAAGTAATAAGCATGAAAAGTATTACCTTTCTATCAGTGATAAATAAAGACCTTTTGTTTCTGTATTTTTTTAATCTACATTTGATAAATATCAGTCATATGATTTTGTGAGTGGGAATAATGATGGCAAAACATTTGGACACTTCTTGTGTTTATATTTACCTTTAAAGTTTCGCTTTATTGCTTGATGGTGGTAGTGGCGCCCTTGACATGGGAACATAGATTTTGGAGGTGTGCCAGCAAGGGTTTGAATCCTACTCTTATTTATTCTTCTTCTTAATAAGTTGTGATATTAGTAGTAGATGGTTATTTAGTGTTTATTATGAGCCAGGTACTCTAAGTATGTAGCTATTCCTTTTAATCCTCAGAACAGTTCTGGGGAGTCAGTTCTTATAGAAATGCAAAGCCTATCACAGTAGTAAGTGATGAAGGTAGGATTTAAACTCAGTTCTGTAAAACCCCAAAGCCCATGGTAAATACTGTGCCGTACCCCTCCCTGTGTGACCTTGAGGGAATCACAGATATAAAGCCCCCCTCTACCTGTAATTCTGAAATGAAAAAGCTTTGGAAATTGCTAGTCTTTTCATAACTTATTTGGTGGCAAAATGAACTCTGAATGGATGAGAAGCTATTTATAGCCTTTGTTAATCCCATTTAGTGTGACTATTCATACATGTTACTAGAAAAGTAGTAATATATTTGATTAGGGGGTGCTGCCGTAGACCTCCTCTGGAGATGTTACAAAATTTACTGTGTGCGTGCTGCATTAACTTTACAAGTTAAAATACAAAAATTCTGAAATCTGAAACATTCCCAGGTGACTGTGCCCCTTTATTTAACTTCTGTAATACTTAGTTTTCTTATCTGTAGAGATGTCAAGATCTAACCCAGTATGTCTTAATATGAATTATATTAAATAATTAATATATACGTGTAAGTATTAAAGTACCTGGTATATAGTAAGTATTCAGTTTGGGAGATTGTTACTATTATTATCTTGGAATTTATATTTGGTTGTGCAGAGTTTGGATCCTAAAGCTAGAATATGTAGAAAACTAGAGTTTTGTTTAGCTTGTTGCTGAAGCCCAGCACTGCATTGTATCTGTACAGGATTAGTAGGAAGCCATGCCCTTCACAGAATATAAGTGACTTTCCCTTACCAAAGACTATTTAGAACAGCAGTAAGTATAAATGTGCATTATCCTGTAGTTTAGGATTTCCTAACCTTTTTCATGTCACTGCACACACAAAAATTCTCTGCTGAGATAAATAAAGGAGGGAGGATGCTTGTGGCTGCCCCTGCTGCACCAGGCTCACGTGGCACCTGGGTGCTCAGGGAATCAATATCATGGCATACCTATGAACACACCTTGGCAAACCAATGTAGAACTGTATATGTCAAATATAAGGGGAAGATAAAAAATGTTGAAAATTGTTAGTGGATTTACTTTGGTTATCTCCTCTGATTAAGCATCTATTTCAAGTCAGTTAAAATCTAGAAACACCTAGGTGAAACATAATTTTTTAAACAGTGAGGTCTCTTAATTCTTGTCTTCTAACAGTTCAGAATGAGATGGAGTGACTGTTTTACTTAATGCTTTATAAAATGTGTTGACCTCTTAAGTTTATTTCACTTGTAAGTTAGAATTATGAAGAAACTATGACATTGTCTTGAACATTTAAAGCATTGGCAGGAGTAGATAGGCCGGTGATATATTTAATTTCGGACATTTTTTTTTAAGGGGCTGACATTTATTCCTTCCTCATATATTACAGTAAGAATTAGGTATGGTGGGGTAATTTTGTCAGTTATTTTTTTTAAATGTACAAATTCAGAGTTTGGCTGTTAGGAGTTATTTGCAACAGGGCTCTGGGGGCGGGGCATAACAGGAAGTTATTTCATATTATCCCTGACCCCCTGCCAAGCGAAAGCCTCCCTACCGGCTAAAAAGAGGGTGCAGAGCAGATTCTCAACCAGATACAATGTTTCTAGAATGTAAGTTGGAACATTGTCCTCCGCCATAAATTCGGTATAGGGAGGTGGGGCAGACGTAGGGGAGCTGCAAGTACAGAGACCCCACTTCGGCTCAGGAATCTGGGATCTGAGGAAACACCCTACATCGGTTTGTTTCTCTTAAAGGAAAGGGTACACAGTTTAAAGGATTAAAGGAGGGTTTCTTCTTCTTGTGGGTCTCTGTGGTGGAGGAGCTCCTTTCCTGGACTTCAGTGATCCGAATGGGGTTTGCTGAGTCGGTGGCCTCCGCAGTGGCTTGTTTGCCTTTGGTGGGGATCCTCTTTATCCTTTGAGGGACAAATTTCTAGTGCTTTTCTATTTTCGTGGGCTTTTGGAGCGGGAGTGGGGATGGGAGGGTGGCATGGCTGGAGACTGTTTGCCTCCTTCTTGGTGCTCACTTGGCTCTGAGGAGCCTTGGAGCTCTGTCTGCTCAAGCTGTGGTCTGTTTCAAGAGGAGTTTTCAGAGTTAAAATATTATTTCTGACAACCTTACAAATCTGCCTCACTTTTAATACTTGAAAAACTTTATAATTTAGAAGGGTTTACCACCTTCAAAAGTTGTAAGACTAGTGGATCATTCCATAATAGCCTGTGGCTCAGAATATTGTTATGTGTTAATTTGGAAAGAATGTGGCTGCTATTCAGCACTTCTCTGAACCAGGGCATATTACATATTAGCTGTGTTGCTTGATTTTTTTCACAGAGTGTTACATCTTCATTTAAATCATAAATCTGAATTACATTAATCTAAAACCTACCAGTGTTCCCTAAAATAACATGGTAATAATTTTTGTAAGAAAAAGTAAGTAGTAATGAAAATTGTTTCCATTATAGGAACAGAAAATAAAGATAATAAGACAAAATTCCAGAATTTATCAAGTCATTATGACTAAAACTCACATGAACTTTATATTTTAAATTTATTGTAATAATTGGTCTTCCCTGTCATTCCCAGAGGCATGTTACAGAGGTAATAAATACAGTCTCCTTTCAACTCTCATATTTGGAACCTCAGAAATTTGAAATGTTTGATGAGTTAGAGTTTAGGGACTGGAAAGTTGCAGGGAGTGAGTTTTCTACATCTTTTGGGAAGCAGTATTGCTTTGTAAGTGCAATTTGCAGGGCAGATAAAGTGTAAATTATGTGGGTAGAATTAGTGAGTGGTAACGAGGTGCTCATGTGACAGAGTGTGCAGCCCAAAGCTGCTGGTGCAGGTGGACAGCAGTGCTGGATAAGGGAGGTCAGGCAAGGTGTACACACAGAGTGTGGACCAGACTTCGAGTCATAATTTTCAGAACTCAGAACTTGTTTTTTCCTTTCAGAAAACTGAAGAATGGGAGAAAACGAAGACTGAAGCAGACATGGAAGAGTATGTATGGAAAGATAGCTCCTCAGAGAAAAACATCCTGGAAACCCTTCTCCAAATTAAAGCTGCTGAGAAAAATCTGGAATTAAGTAAAGAAGAGCTCCTTGGTACTGAAGAAGTTGAAGAGTACAGAAAGTCTGTTGTTAGTCTTAAGAATGAGGGGGACAATGAAAATACCCTTTCTCAGTACAAAGAATCAGTGAAGAGACTATTAAATTTGACATGAATTATATAGAAAAATTGCCTTGATTTATTAATTTTATGATATATATGTAATCATTATCTAATTTGATATACAGTTGAAGATGTTAAAAAACCATTGTTTTATTACATCAGAGTTAAAATTATTCCTTTCATCCTAATGTACAAAGGCAGTGATTATTCAGAAGTTTTCTTACTTTATGCACTGGGGCAATCAGGCTAATTCGATCTCTGTGATTTCTTCTGGTTCTAAAGTGTTTGGATTTTATTTCTACCATAACAACTTTAGTATTCATATATATACAATGTTGTTGTTTTGTCACCTGCTCCATTTCTTTCCCTACAGATTAGTACTTTTTGGTTGCTTTTGAATAATGATTTTGGTTATTTGGGAAGCTAGGCCCAGAACCCAGTCCTCTGACTGAAGTTCAGTGTTTTGTCTACATAACTGCTATCTGCCTAGTGAGTTTTTGCACATGCTGATTCTGATTAGAAGCAGGTCCTTAGCAGTATTTTCTAACTAAAAGTTTGTTCCATTCCTCTATTTGGGGGTCACTTTATGTTGATTCAATTCTGTTTAGCATCCTGCTTTCCATTTTCTTTGGCTCATTTCTCCAAGCCTAAGTTTGCAGAAAAGTGGAAATGGAGATTAGCTGGTATTCATCTCTATGGATGCCCCAGCTAGAACTTCCACAGCTCAGGAAAGAGATGAGGTATAAAGACCTTGAATTTAATTGGAGTAAATGACAAAATAACTGCACTAGGAAACATTTCATTCAATTTAGCTGTCAATTCAGTGCTTTTAAGTATATCTGTAAGTCATTTCTTACCACTTAAAGTTGTTGACAAGTGATTAATTTAAAATTGAAATAAAGGAATTATGGAGGCTGTTATTTGCCTAAAACTTATTTTGCTTGACAGAATTTGAGAACATAAAATGCCAAAATGAATTTCAGAACAATTGCTCAAAAGATTTATATAAATTGAAGATATGATTTAGTATTAGCAAGGCCAAGAGTCCGTAGGTTATAAAGGACAACAATAGGGCCTTGAGTTCCATCCATTCCACTGGATGGAAATAGCAAATAAAAAAGTAGATACAACTGAATTTCTAGATCAGGTTTAAAGCATACATAAGTGTATTGAAGTGTTACATTTCTTAGAGAGTCAGAGTTGAGGAAAACTCAGGTGTGGAAACAGGATTGAAGAAGGACACATTTGAAAACAGTAGAAGCTGAGGAGAGGTGGTCATTTGGGAACATGTAAAGAGGTGGTAGATTAGGGTCCTCAGTCCTGTAGTAATAATACAGTGAAGATGGAAGCAGATGGAGTAATGATACGTAATAAAGAATTTGACCTTGCTCAAAGAGAATCTGGCCTCTCCCGTCAGCTTCTGGGAGGTAATCTGTGATACCTCATAGAAGTGTCTTTGGTTAGGGCAGGAGTCAGTCACAATGGATTTTAGGTGGGGCTTGCTACACCTGATAGTCCTAGGCATGCCAGGAAAACCAACCATGTGTTTAGGGTTGGGGAGCTTTGAGTTTCTTGGTAAGTCCACCCAGCAGCTGAGATCAACTGCCCAGGTAATTGATCAGTCATACCTATGTAATGGAGCCTCAATAAAGATTTAGAACACTGAGGCTCCGGTAGGTTTCCCTGGTTGGCGATACTCTAGACATACTGTCACACATTGGTACTGGGAGAGTAATGCATCCTGCTTCCACGGGGAGAGGACACCAAAACCTGTGAGTTGGGAACACTCCTGAACTTCATCCTTGGTGCTTCTTCCCTTGGCTGATTTTAATCTATATCCTTTCCCTGTAATAAACCGTAACTGTGAGTATAATAGCTTTCATTGGGTTCTGTGAATTCCTCTAGTGAATTATTGAACCTGAGAGTGGTTTGGGGACTCCCCATCCCCCGAACTTATAGTTGGTGTCACAAGTAAGGGTGGTCTTGTAGAAGACTGTGCCCTTTTAACCTTTGCAGTTTGGCTAACTCTGAGCAAAGACCTGAAGACTCTAAGGCTGTGGCATTGACACCTAATGGCAAAATCTTAGAGCTGTAAGATTAATACACAACTGCCTCAAAAGGGTAACCGTTGCTGTCATTGTAATGTTAGCAATAATTGAACAGCATTTTTTGTCATTATTTAGACTCTTGTCCTTAAGCTCTAATTGATCTAATGTATACAATGAACATCATACTCATCCTTACAATGAGGATTCTAGGGGACACTTTTTGCTGTACTGATGATATGCAATCACTTCTGACTTCAAACTCTTAAATTTCATAGCTCAGAATGTGCTTAAACACATAGGCAACTAAGAAATAGAACAAACCTGTTTTCTTAATTGTAGGGAGCTTTAGTTTTTTTCTTTGCATATTTTCTTTCCAAAATTGGTAAATGTGTCATAATACTGGACTATTACAGATTTTTTTCCCCAAAGGTCTGGCTGTTTCAGTGCTGGAAAAATTTCGATATCATGGTTATTTCCTAAATGGTGGTAACAACCTTAGCCTTAGTTGTTGACTAGGCCCTGTGATCTTTATTTCTTAATGTTTTAAATTCTATTCAGAAGTTCTCTTTGGTCCCTTTGGCTTCCAATAAGGACATGGTTTCTAGGCCCAGTCGTTTTTGTCTTGGCTGACTGTTCAGGTCGCCTCTCCAGTCTAAGTTTACTCAGTTTATCTGATGGTCAAAGGTAGGGGCTGAAGAAGAGAAGGAGTGTGTTTGTTTTCTTACAAATGTAAATATGTTTTTCCCAAATTATGGTCATTTCTATAAAACAGTTATCAATTTTAGGGAACAAATAAAATTCTGAGAAATCTCAAGGAAGAAAAAACTTCTTTTTTTGGTAGCCCTAGTTGGAAAACCTTCAAACAGTTTGTATATATTTGAAAGAAAATTAAATAACCTTTAAAAAGAATGTATATACAAATAATTTTTAAAGACAGCTTCCTGAATAACTTAAATATTTTAAGGTAATTTAAATCTTGATATCCCCCCCAAATTGCCTGAGTTTTTTTCCCTAATGTATTAAGAAATTGATAACATTTATGATATGTAATATGAATAGCAAATTAATGTAAATCGATTATATTTTAAAAATTCAGACTTATTTGTGGTTAATATTCTGAGGGAAGAGTGCTATTTTATTAATCTTATAATAGGATTTCCTCTTTGTTCATTATGCTTAAATGGCTGTCTTTTAATGTCCTCACATTAAAAAATATTTTCAGAGATGAGATTAAGGGCCTGAAGTTTAAGATCATTAGAGACTTGAATTACAGTTTTCTACACTTAAGAGTCAGAGTATAAGATTTAGGGGTGAATCTGGTGTAAGTGGACAGAGCTTGAAATACCTAGAGCTAATATTTGCACCTGGGAAAACAACTTATACAACTGAGGGACATAAACTAAACAACTCCCAAGATTTATTCAACAGAAGTCAACAGAAAACTCAAAGATCTTAGTGCCATAATTATTGAGAGGCATGTCAGTTTTTGAAAAAGAAGCTGATCGATTAAGATTGAGAAAGATTAATCAATTGAACATAAAAAATTATATAAAAATCAGGAAACTTTTGCTCATGGGTTAGTAACTGTAATCGTTTATAGTGCTTTTCTGCTCAAGCCACTAAAAGATTTCATCAAAATATGTGACAATAATATGACCTTGACAGGAACCAAATACGATGTTACGGTGTTTTCCTCCCTGTATCTTTTTTCCCTACTCATTGAGAAAATGGAGGCTTGTAGTCCAACAGTGATTTTGAACGTGGACTTTTGAACCATGTTGCCTATTAAGTCAGGCTTTGCTACATACTAGCTGTGTGACTTTAGGCAAGATACTTAGCCTCTCTTTCCTCAGTTTCCTCATCTGTAAAATGTGATAAGAACAGTCTAATAGTTAACAGTAGTATACTTATCTCACAGAGTTCAAGGAATCAACAAGTTAATACATGTACAGCACTTAAAACTATCTCTTACATGGTGCTGAATAACTGCAGAGATTAGAATTTTCGAACTTCAGCAAAAGGTACACTATTCAAAAAATGGAAATAATCAAAAAGACAATTATGTTTATCAAACATTGGCATTCTTTAGAGATTGGTAAGAATGGGTATCTGTGCTTTTTATTTTTTTTAACCAAACTGCCCTCGTCTTACAGAAAACTACAAATGATACTCTTAAAAGCTTACAATGCTCACATCTTTTACCATTAAGAGCGCTCCTTCAGAATGGTACATTTTTTAATTTGCTTGGATCCTGACTTTCTCTGTCCTAGTTTATACTGGCCCTGGTGCTTTCGACAGCATCCAGATGCCAGGATGACTACACAACAGCAGAGGAAGGTGACAGAGGTGCAGAGGACCACAGGAACCAACCATGTCTTGGAAGTCACAGGTGCCCCATCAGGTGTTGTGTCTTCATTCTCAGATGTACGGTTTCTGCTGTTGTACCCTTTGGTTTTGTTCAGTACTTGTTTGCTACTGTTGAGTTGGGATGGAAAAGGCACATGAGAAAGTTTTGTGTCTATCGGCACAAAGAAAGAAGAAATAGTCTTGTTATCTGGATTGCTGATGAACTTGGTACTGGCTGACACCATATTTACGTTTGTGGTAATGGAGTCATTCAGAGAAATGAATCTTGCCCAAGAGTCTGTGGTTAATTCCTTGGAATACCTAGTATTATTTGTGGTTGCAAACAAATCTTGATATGTGGTTGAAGATGGAGCTTCTACTGATGGTAGCATTTGGTTTATCATGGTCGTTTGTTGTTTATCTAAATACATAGCTTTTAGAATCCTTAGTCTCTCCCGTATATTAGATGAATAACGGGTGTTTAGATATGTGGGCAGTGATTGTTCAAAAACCAGCAAATCTGGATCTACACCTGAAATATAAATAAGGCATCATTTAAATTTTATTTTTAATTTAGAAGACAGGACCTTAAAGTACAGTTTGGAGAAGTCTTGGATTTTGCCACTATAAGTTACTGAACTAAGCTAATTTCAAGTTCCACCTAATTTCAAGTTTCAGCCTACTTCTGAAAGGCTTAGAAACATACTAGCCATGTTTGAATTTTTCTTAACTTTCTAAGACACTTTCTGTTGCAAACGAACTTGGCTACATCACATCGTGGAGAAAACTGCCAGGGCTTTTGCGCAACAATAGCAGTATTGGGCAAGAGCTGCAGAAACAGTAACCATTTGATATGTATGACAATTAAAGTCAAACAAAATGGGGCCTGAGAAGTGTAACTATGCAGAATTATTAGCAGAGCCCTAAATCTCATCCCTTCCCAGTGCCTGAGGGTCCAGTGCCTGAGGGCCTTCAGGGTTCTCTCTCTTCTTGTAAAACTCCTTTCCCTCTGGCTTCAAAAACTCTCAACAGCTTTACAGTTGTCACACTGTTTCCCTTTCAGTCTCTCTTGAGTGTGCTCTCACCCAACACACCACCACCTACTCCCCTCCTTTCCTTTCTGACTTTGTTTTGTGCCTTCCGACATTTTGTTTCCACCCTCACTATTCTGCCAATTCTGCTTCTGGGGTGATCAGTACTTTCCCTATTTCCTGATCACTGTATCTCATTGCTTTGGCTTCTCTCTTGTTCTTGATACTGATGGCCACCTCTCCTTGCATTCTTCTCCCGTGACTCCCTGGACCCCAAATTCCTTTGGCACTTTATCTCAGACTGCCTGCCTCTCGCTTTTCCCTTCCTTTGTGCTGGTTCTCTCCTTGGTCCTCACTGATTGTCCGATAATCTTTAGTCTTTAGTCCTTGGTTTTCTGCTGTATTTCTCGTCATCCCATACCAACCACCCTCCCACCCCCGGTCACCAAAAGATTATCCTCATCAACTGTCACCACTACATTGATGGCCCTGAAATCCACATCCCCAACTTTTTCCTCTTTCTTGAGCTCTGATCTCAGTTCTCCTGTGCTCTACTGGAGGTTCCCAGCTAAATATCTCACATCACCGCTGGCATTCTCAAAACCATCATCTGGTCTGCCTCTTTGTCTTTTTCAGCGGCATCATCATTCTTCTGTCACCCATGCTGGACTCTGCACTGCAACAGGATTTTTCAATCTTCAGTTCTCTTCTTCTTTATCCAAAAAGCAACTAAGTGCTATCCAAGCCCTTCCCAATATGCTAGCAACCATCCCTCCTCTTCATTGCAACTACAGTCACCTTGTCCAGATATAACATTACCCTGACTGCATTTTCTAATCTGCATCCTACATATAATTTTCCTGGGCTAAGATAACCAGACATCACTTTAATGATAGTGCTTTCTCATGAAATACCTTTGCTGGTTCCATATTTCTGACAAAGTCAAACCAAAACTCTCCTCTGTCCTTTTGTTACCTGGCCTACCCTATCCTACCCATATTTCCATTGCAGCCCCAAATGTGCCCCTATTGGAGCCACACCAGTGTTTGTGCTTTCCTGGGGTGTGATATGGAGCTCCTTTTCTTGCCTCTACCTGGCGTCTTCCATGAAGCCTCCTCTGAATAATTGAGCTTTCTTTAGTCTCCCCTTCTTTTGAGCCTTTGTACTTGAGGCAGTATCACACATTTTTGTATTTAATTTTATGTCTTACACTAATTGTAAGACTTGTTGCATCAACTAGATTAGAAGGAGCTCGAGGGCAGAGATATGGCTGTAATCTCCTGCAGTGTGGAGCACAGCATGGAGCATTATGTGTTCAATAAGTCAGACTGATCAAGAAATTCACCTCCTTTGTATCGTGTTGGCAAAAATCTATTCTTTGATGTTTACTGATTTGTACCCTGAGATTATATACATGGGAAAGGACACTTAAATATGTATTTTTCTAAAGGAAAATGCAGTTGTTATCTTGGGACCAATGCTATGCTAATGTGTGGCTCTAAGTGCATTTCCCCATCCCTGACATCCATCTTTGTAGAATCCTTGTACACAGCATCAGCGAACCTCAAAACTGACATTTAGCATTTTCTTTATTTCCTAGTGGTATCCTTAACCACTACAGTAGAAATACCTATTTTGGTTCTTGCTGAAGGCTCTTGGAATAAATGAAATACAATGCTCTTGTTCAGCCACATATGATTTGTTATCTGGGATGAACTCATCCTTGCTGAACATGCTAAATGAATGGGAATTTCCTTTTAGTTTTCTGCCCTGGAAGCCCCAAACTTTTCCAGACAGAGTTCACTGGGAAATAATGATTTAGATTCATACATGGCTACTGCCAACCAATTTCTAGGTTATATGCCTCTACTAAAATATTACTGACATTCTTCAAAATACATACAAAGGACATAAATCATTACCGTCTGTTATGTTGTATAAAATGGCGCTGGTTCCGGGCTCCAATATGCAGCTCTCCAGGGTTGGGCAGTGAATATGGAGGCAGTTGACATCGCCATGAATAGGGTCGTGGAAGAAGACAGCCAAGTTACAGGAAACTGAAAAGGAAGCGGGCAAAGTACATCTGCAGATGGTCTTGATTTCTGCAGCTTGATGAGCTCTGAGTAGCTTACATTTCTTTCAAGAGCACTGGATTAACAGTACGTGGCAGGGCTATGTTCAGACATCTTACAGAACATTATGAACTATCGCAAATGCTTCTGTGAATATGGGAAAATGCCTCTTCAAAAAAATAGCTGCAAGAGGGAAGAGATATGGTAACATATGTATATGTAAAACTGATTCACTTTGTTATAAAGCAGAAACTAACACACCATTGTAAAGCAATTATACTCTAGTAAAGATGTAAAAAAAAAAAAAAGAAAATAGCTACCGATATTCTCAGTAATCTTTCACACATCCCATGCTACACAGATTACCTGGAATCATTTCCCAGTATTTTATGTTCAGGAAAATCCAGTTGGCTACAAAAACCTCTGGGGATTTATATAGATCAGATTTCTAGATGCAATACCCTCTCAGAATACTAAGGCACTGAAGTTCAACAGAGAGAAAGAGGGAAAAAAATAGACAAAGCCTGTAACAGAAGGGGGAGTGATAGGAAGGGCAAAAACGGTAATGACCCGTGTTGTTGGGAGAGGCCCAGGTGGCATAAAGGCAGCAGGCTGGGTGAACATTACCTCGACCCCGACTGCAGGTGTGTGCTAGCCCCATGCTGCAAAGCCACGTCCAGTGAAAAGCTGATCGGTGTCATTCAGAGAGGAAGGGAGTAGACAGACGAGGTGGTTAGCATTTGGGATTCTAGTGGGGAGGGGCTCATCACTTGCTCTTGCCGGCTCCCCTTTTCTAAGTAGATTTGCTCCATAAAAGATACCGTGTTATTTCTGGAAGGTCAGATTTGTTGAATGCAAATCTTCAGTCTGTCCTCCTTTAAGTGCAGCACAGATTTTCCTCCTGCTGTAGTGTAGTAGGAACCATGTGATGGGAAATATTCATTGGCCCAAAGGTATCAGCTTCTTTAATAAAATGAGATTACGGAGGGAGAGTGTACGATTACCAGACCTCTGAGTGTGCCTACAGCTGCTGTGGAATTGCTGGCAGAACCTGCTCTGCTTCTGTGTAAGGTTAACTGCGGGGGTTACGTCTCCCCTATTACTTCTGGGACACCCCGTGTTTCTACACTCTTATTTTTCCAGAAGGAGACAGAATAGGACAAAAGTCAATTAATAATACATTGCTAATACATTATAGATTACAAATACATTCCCTGAGGACTGTGCTGTAAAGTTTAAGGAAAAGGAAGAAAGAATATTCAAATTTAGACATCTAAATTTCTGATAAAGTAGTGGATGCTGTAGGGAGCAACTTTTCAAGATCTTTTACATTCTTCATGCATATTTCAGAGTCCCAGTTCTGAGTAGGTTAGCTATTGCAGGATTGTGCATTTTAAAGTTCTGGCTTCTAGGTAAAAACTGGGATGTGTGTTCATGCCTTTTCTTCTTCTGGAGAAAGAAAGCCACAACTTGGAAGCCACAGAGGCTCTAAAATCCTGGAATTCTACTGGATGCTTTTAGTATCCCCGGAAGTCCAGAGGCCACAGCTTCCCTGGTGTGGAGAGTCAGGTAAATTCATGCCACGGGAAAATGCTGAAAAGGTATCACCCCTCCCTCATCTCCTCTCAGTGAAGGCTTCTGGGGTTATAAGCATCTGAAAGCAGAATATCTAGATTTGCTACCTTTTCCAAAATTTCCCTTTAATAAATTAATTGCTGTCTTCTGTGCCTGATTAACTTTTGAGGGCTAAGCCTGTGACAACTTCTCACACTGTGGTCTCTTGACAGTCGGTTTAGACTCTCCAAGGAGCTCCAATTTGCATCCCAGAAATCTTACATGGATAATTGGATAGGAGGCATTGGCAATTAATGTCGGTAAGAAATCACGGGAAGAAAATGTGGAACAACAAGAGAATTATTTTAAAGTGCTGTGTTCCTTTTGTTGTTTCTTTCCAAGTCGCTTTCAAATCTTGGAAAAATGAAAAATAAATGAAGTCTTTAATCAAATGTAACTTGAAATTCTGCAACAATGAAATGTTTTCCTAGTTATAGGCCTTGATTATATTATATGAATGATATTTAACCCTGAATCCAGATTTCAGACCAAAAAAAAAAAATTCTGTTAGGATATTTTGAAAACTAACTTTCTCTCTCTCTCATTCTCTCTCTCTCTTTCGTGCTCTCTCTCTCTCTCTCTCCCTCCTTTCCTCTTTTTCTAGTTGACATATATTTCCCTGTTTCTTTCAAAACATGAATCACAATCTAAATTCCTGTTCAGTACATCCCCACACTTGGTCAACCCAAGCAAGCACATTTCAAAAGTGTGATACGATACCAATATCACCAAAAGAACCTTGAAAAGGAAATATTTTTGAAATCATTTATGCTATGTTCTGGGCTATAGAAATATTGTTAGCCAGCCCTCAAGGCAATATTTTCATTGAGCACTTTAGTGAAGAGAAGAGGTTCTCTGTTACCTGTAGGTTCATAGCCTCCCGGGTCATTACTAGATTTGTAAATGGAGCCTGCACTGGCCCCAGCTGCAAAATCAGTCTCAGTGTCTCTCCCCCTCTGCCCACTGCCTCATCCCAGGGCATCTTCTCTAGTCCCCATCAACTGTTCACTGCACCCTCTGCCTAAGGGTCCTTTCTTAGGTCCTCATTTTGGATGTTTCCCCTGATTTTTGCTCAGGTCTATCATCGACACTTACCATCCTTCCTAAGACAGCAGCTCCGACTGCACTTCTGACCAGTGCTTTCGGAATAATACTTCAAGAACTGGGCCCCCAGCTTCTGAGACTCCTCCAGGTCAATTAGGAGACCTGGGAAGCGTCGGATCCAGCAGTCTCTGTAAAACACAGTGGGTGAGCAGAGAGAGTCTGAGGTCCACCCCATGCTTAAGAGCAAAATCACGTCTGCTGCCACGACCACCACATGCATTTCCCTGGGATGAAGACTCGGCAATAAGTCTGATGACCAGACAGACACTGAAGCTGACCATCAGGGTTTAGAATGGTTTCTGGAACTTCAGGGCTGTTGCTAAGGGAGAAGGCTCCCTTGGAACTCTGTGAAGGGTCACTTTCTAGAAAAATGAAGCGGCTCTTTGACTGCACGTTGATTTTTCTTTTGTTTCTTCCCAGTTGCACCCCAGGTGAACATTTGACTTGCTGCTGTTAATGCTGAACACTTTCCAGGCCATTTCAATACTCTGTCCTTTAGCCTTTGGAAGACGTAGATTCTTTTCTCTGCTTTTATTCTTTCTGTGAAAGTGAAGTCACAGACACCTTTTACTAAGTAAATATAAAGGCAAGTTGAAATCCTAGCCAAGAGTGTTTCTGAGGAAAACAATAGTTTAGTCACTTGATGTCAGATAAAGGAAGGATCCATTTCACCAGAAACAAGACATCATTTTGTCAGGACACTTCTATAAAGTTTTTTAAGAAACTTGTGACTGCAGGGTTTTTTTTTTCAATTATCTTATTTTCTTTGATTTGAAGTTCTAATTCAGGTTCACTAGAAAACTAGTTTGAGCATGGGTTTAAATTCTTTGTTTTCACCAAAAAAAAAAAAAAAAATCAAAAGTAAATGAAAACAAAATGAAATAAAAAATTTAAATTTTGCAGTGATTTTGAAAACACTGAATATGAATCCTGGTCACTTCTTGGTGCCAGGCATTTTTTTTGCAAAGGCCAGCCGCAAGCTTTTTAAAAAGAAGATTAAAGATCCAGCCAAAAGAATATCCTTATAATGTAGATGGAGCACAACACCCATTAAAGTGTATTTTGTTCAATCAAGATTAAAAAGCATAATTGAAAATTGTGATGAAGTTCAAACTGGGGGTTGCCTAATCTGTTTTCTGATATTTATGTTTTCAAGTTACAAAGAAGTCTTTGGGAAGCACAAATATAAAGGCATCTCTGAAGCAGATGTAGTTACAAGAAATGTGCATTAGGGAAATAGTTTAAAATTTCTACATATTAATAAAGTTACTTCCACTGCAATGCCAAAACATTTGAAAAAAATATTAAAGAAAATGGCTTCCTTTGTGAAGACTGTGTGTTCCATATCCCATACATTCCAAGATGAAATTAGTTCAAAGCATGGAACTGTTGCTTTTTTGTATCCATTTTTATACAAAGCATTAGTGGTAATTAGTTTGGGGCATAAGGTACCATACTGCTCTTTTAAAAAAAAAAAAGATGAAACTTTTTCTCTCTTGTGATCTGTTTCTCTTATACTTTTCTGCACACTCACTCACTTGACACAATAATGTTAACATTCTTTGAACTTTCATCTCTTCACCTGTCTACTAATAAGTTTAATAATCATATCTTTTGATTTTTAGAAGCATAGTATTAACGATTGATAATAAAGAGGATGACAGTCAAAAGACAGAATAACTTTAAAAAAATTTCACTTTCTTCTGAGCAAAAATTGTATCATGGACTAACACCTAACCTTCCATAAGCCACATAAAATGCACTAAAAATTAAAAATATTTTATTCTAATGAACTTCTCTTAGAAAGCAAGTTTCAGTTGCTTACCTGCAAGCAATCTGACTGTTTCATCTGTTCGGAGGAAAGAGGGAAGAGAGGTTTCCTAAAGGCAAAACAGGAGACAGATGAGGAACAAAAGAGTACTCCCTGTTTTACCATGAGGTTCCATAGCTATTTTGATTAGTTCATGCCCTGGGGACATAAACCGGAAAGTCAACTTTCTAACCTTCTAACCTCCACATCTTTCAGTCGCATTAAATGTGGTTTCTTTCCTGTGATATATAATTCCTTGAAGTTCTCATGTTCCCTGCAGGGATAATGGAACAATCCACAGTTGTTTAATCCTTTTGCTGTCAGATGATGTTCAAGGGGAGACCAAAGTTGCATTTTAAAGAATCTACAAGTTCCAATGTAAAAGCAGGCTCTAAAATTTTTTAAATAAATTTTGGGGTGATTGATAAACATTGAGTCTGGAAACAGGTAACTTCTTGGAGCTGGGTATTTTGAAAAGGAGAGATTAAAAACTGAACAGCAGGGACAGAGGGAGGAAACTTCAACCAACTGAGATGTGGAGCAGAAACATCCCCGCATGAGCCTGATTCAGTAGCTCTGGTGTGGGAACCAGAATTCTTATTTTTATAAAAAGTGTCTCAGGTGATTTCCTAAGATGTTTGGAAAACACTGAAATAGGTGACTGAAATAAGTGAAAGTTTTGCGTACATGAAATGCTCAGCCTGAATTAAATAGAATCATTTTAAGAACTGTGCTACTTTAAACTCATTTAAATTGCCCCCTATGCTTTAATGAAAGCAAGATATTTCAGTTTTGCTTATTAAAAAAACAAAAAAGAAACAAAGTTGATTTAGAAGTATTGGAGGTACTAAAAAATAGAGATAAACAATTTTTAAGTGGTAGTGAAGTAATAGCATAGGTTTCCTAAATTCAAAAGATTAAAAAAAAGTCAATATGTCATCCTTGTTTTAAAGATGCTAATTGTAGTATTTACTTAACATTTTCATTTCATCAGTTCATAAAATTGGTGGAAATCATTTTGTAAAATGGGGCCTGAGAAATTGGAATTAACTATTAAATTGACATGCATTCACTTAAAAAACCCAAACCATACCGAACAGTACAATAAGATATAATACCATCCAAGATCTTACAATGTTAACATTTTGGTAAACATCCTTCCAGACATCTCCATTCAAAAAATAGATACTTATATACAATTTTACAAAAATGGATTCACACTGTTTCAGAAACTGTTTTTTAAAAATTCAGTGTAAAATTACATGTTCAGTGTCTCTCAAGAAAGCTCTACATCTAAAACTGTAATAGCTCTATGGTATTTCATTCTACCCATGTACCAAAATTTACTCTGAGCCTTAGCTGTAAAAGAGTATTAAAACAGATTATAATCTACGGAGAGCATTTACAACATGTAATAAACTTTCAATAAATGTTAGCTACTCCTAACATTATACATTGTTTTTCAATTTTTTTATTATTCAAAGCAACACTGTGACAAACATCTTGTACTTTGATTTTTTTCCATTCTAGGTCAAAAGGTATACCTTCCATAAAAATTCTTGCAGAAATAGCCTAACTCTGTGTTTGACCATTAGACCATTACTTTAGGCTTTTGTAAAACAGATCATGATGTGTTTGAAGTGAATCATGGTGCCACAAAGGCCACTCTTTATTATTCATTAATCAGTGGATAACTATAAAAGTATACCTCCAGCTATAGACAAGCAACATTTTCATGAAGCTTAAAAATAATTTTAGGTCTTTTGTAAATAAAGTTTATCTTGCTTTGACGTTGCATTTCTAGCTTAACAGAAAACTTACTTTGTGAGTTATTAAAATGACTTGATCTTTAAGAGGCTTTCAATTCTAAATGACCTTATGTCAGGGGCCAAAAAGCTTACAGGATCAGTGCCCGGTACTATCAAGCTGACACCCCAGATTACCTGCCCAAGATCTGCTCCGATAATATTACTGTCCGTGAATTGCCTTTCTAATGCACATGATTTTTTTTTTTTTTTGGTCTGTTTTTAAAAAGCAAGAAAATACCAGTCTGAGGCATATCTATGATGGCTGGGAAACAAAAGCATCCACTGGTGAAAGATTCTAAAGAGACCGAGGAGAGACTAAGAGCCTGTTCTTTGCTGCCCCACTGAATCTGGCACTGTTGCTGATGGAGAGACAAATAAATCCCAGGTCCAAGACTCTGACACAGGGGGCAACTTCCAGCAAAATTCCCCAGCTAAATGCCTAATGCTGGACATGGAACATTAGAGGATGCTAAATTCATGACCACCTACCCCCAAAGAACCTTAGATGTCTCCACTACATGCTCATTGAGAACAAAAGTGTGAAAGGGCCAGGTGAGAACTGAATTTTATCAGTGAGGATTTAAAGGCCAGGTGAAACAAGGTGAAAGCTAGACGTTTTTCCCAGGATCCAAGAAAATATCTTGAAAGAGGCAAGTCATAGGTCCATCTTTGTTTCCTTCACTTTTCCCAGGGAGGCCAGAATCTACTAGAATTTTTTTCTATGTCTTCAAAATTTTAGTTACTTGTTCATGGTGTATTATAAAGAAAATAAGGGATGACAACACCTCACTGTGAAGCTGTTAGTTACACAGAAAGAAGTGCAAATGTGACCGAACAATGTGTTGAAAGAATTTCATGTTTTAGGACATGACTTTCTTCTCTGTTTTTTAACCCTTCCCCTTCCTAACATAAAATGTTAATTAGCTTTGTAGGAGGCATCTTTTGTTTAAAATACCGGGCAATGTACTTATGAAGAAGTTACTATTTAACAACTTGTCATTCATGAAGAAAGCTAAAACTTGTTAAAAAAAAAAAAAAAGTCCCAATACATATTCTCTCCCCAAGTAGAGGACTACTATTTGGTTCTCAGTCTCTGGTCTGAGAAAGTTTCCAAGCGGTTTTTGGTTAAGATAAGGGTGAACACACACACACACACACACACACACACACACACACACACACAGTGCTCCCTCCCAATACTATCCCTTCTTCTACTCAAAGGTAACCTATTACCGCCTACTCTCCCTTTTGAGGATTAATTCATAGCTCATGAGCAGCACAAGATCCTTATTATTTGGGGTGAGGTTTCTATTTGCAATGTTCGGTGTAAGAAGATGGGGAAGAAGTATCCTTCCTTATGAAGTCCTCAGACTGCAGGGGCAGGGGTAAGGGAGGGGTAAGAGGGTGGCGAGAAAAGCCACCTCTGCAGGCAAATATGCGTAAAGGCGGCCAGACCTTTTGCCCAGAGGTAACATTCCGTGATGGCTAGTCCAACCAAACAAATTGGGAATGCAATGGCTGTTAGAAAATATTTAAAAGGCACATGATCTAACTTTATTTAGTTAGAGTTGTACTTCTTTCTTTTAATAGCATAAAGAGAACAGGCCCCAGCAGCAAATACAAGCTCCTCTGCTTCCCAGCCCTTTCTATCGGGGGCACCCCGTGCGCCGAGACCTGCAGAACCTGCTACCATCTGGCTGGCCCTTCTTCCTGCAAGATGGCTCCTACGCGATGACCATTCCGAAGAATCAGCTTGAGGTGCCACCTACACGCTCAGAGACGGCCCGTGTGCCTCGGCCCCGCCGGGACACGATGCCGGACTCGACAGGACTGGCGATCCCCGATATGATGTCTTTTTGACTCCCGGACCCCGACTTATTTCATCCCTTTCCTCCCACGCCCGTTTCTTTTCCTTATCCCTTCCCGCTGGTAAGGCGCCTTGGAAGAAAAGGCAACCGGCTTCATCCCGCCTCCCGCGCGCCCGGAGCCTAGCCGCAGATCCGGCGGGCGGTAGGGTCTCGGCGCCCGGCGCGCGGGGGCGGCCGCGGGGACGCGCCTTCCCGAGGCCCGCCGCCGAGGCCTGCCACCTGCTACCCTCCGCGAAAGCCGGAGCCGGGCGGCGGGGGTCCTGCGGTCGGAAGTGAGAAGCCAGGCGTGGGAGGAGGCTGCCTGCTGGGGGGCTGGGATCCCTTCCCGGCCGACGGCCCGGGACGACCCGAGCGGAGAGCTATCGCCGCCCGGGCCTTTTTTGGCGCGGACGGAGGCCAGAGGGGCTGGGCCGCCGGTCCCGGGGGGCGAGGCCGAGCCACCGCCCCCGGGACCGGGAGGAGGGGCCGCCTCGGCCCGGAGAGGCTGGGCGGGCGCGGCCGCGGGCGGGCGCGGGCGGCCCTGCGCCGCCGCCGCCTCCGCCTCCGCCTCTGCCGTCTCCTCCCGGCGCCCGCGCTCGGCGGCCGCCCCGGAACCCGGCGAGCGAGCGGGGGCGGGAGGCGGGCGCTCAGAGCTGGCTGGAGCCCCGGCCGCCCCCGGGCCCCCGGCCATGTCGGCGGAGGAGATGGTGCAGATCCGCCTGGAGGACCGCTGCTACCCGGTGAGCAAGAGGAAGCTCATCGAGCAGAGCGACTACTTCCGCGCCCTCTACCGCTCCGGCATGCGCGAGGCCCGGAGGCCGGAGGCCGGCGGCCCCGAGGTGCAGCAGCTGCGCGGCCTCAGCGCCCCAGGCCTGCGCCTGGTGCTGGACTTTATCAACGCCGGCGGCGCCCGCGAAGGCTGGCTCCTGGGCCGGCGCGGGGAGCCGGGCGGTGTCGGGGAGGAGGAGGAGGACATGGACGAGGTGAGCCTGCTGTCCGAGCTGGTGGAGGCCGCCTCGTTCCTGCAGGTCACGTCCCTGCTGCAGCTGCTGCTGTCCCAGGTGCGGCTCACCAACTGCCTGGAGCTGTACCGCCTGGCGCAGGTGTACGGGCTGCCCGACCTGCAGGAGGCCTGCCTGCGCTTCATGGCCGTCCACTTTCACGAAGTGCTGTGCAAGCCCCAGTTCCACCTCCTGGGCTCTTCCCCTCAAGCCCCCGGGGATGTCAGCCTGAAGCAGAGGCTGAGAGAGGCCCGGATGACAGGGACTCCTGTCCTCGTGGCGTTGGGGGATTTCCTGGGGGGACCCCTGGCCCCTCACCCCTACCAAGGGGAGCCCCCGTCCATGCTCAGGTACGAGGAGATGACTGAGCGCTGGTTCCCGCTGGCCAACAACCTTCCTCCTGACCTGGTGAATGTCAGGGGCTACGGGTCCGCCATCCTGGACAACTACCTCTTTATCGTGGGCGGCTACAGGATCACCAGCCAGGAGATCTCCGCGGCGCATTCCTATAACCCCAGCACCAACGAGTGGCTCCAGGTGGCCTCCATGAACCAGAAGAGGTAAGCACCCAGCCGCTCTGCTGCTTTCCCATGCATCCACCTGTTCGGGACTCCGTTCCCGCGTGTTTACTGGGCAGTCACAGGAGGTTGTGCTGAGGTGGGAATGACATCCTCGGGAGTGTTGCTGGCCTTGACTCTGGCAAAGTTCCCGATGGACTAAGAACTTGATAGGAAGCAGAGGCCCTAGTGAGGTCAACTAGCTGAGTAGTTTCCTTGCAGGTATTGCGCCGTTAGACAAATTGCCTCTTTTTGGCGTCTCAGTGAAAAAAAAGATGTCTGTGGTTTCCTAGAAGGATACTTTCAAAGAAAGCTCTCTTTAATTTTGCTTGTATTTTTACCTTTTTTTGTTTTTTAGGAACTAATCGTGATTATAATGACACACGGGCAGTAACCTGTAACACTGACTTTGGAGGATCTTGTTGTTAATGACTTTGAAGCTTTCCGCACTGAGGCACCAGGCTATGATCGGAAAATAATCATTGGACTTGTGTTAATATTAGCTATACAGGATTACCTTTCTTACTTTTTGTCCTCTCTTTTGCATATCACTTTTTTTCCCAGACAGTCTTCATTATGGACCCAAGACTTGAGCCTGGCATTGGTCACCTGCAGAATTAGAACATTACCATCCACGCCAGCCTTCTCCCTTCCCATTCTGCAAATCCCTCCCAACATGCACTTGGGTGACTTGAAGAAAGGCAGAGAAAAGGAGGAGATTGCGGGGAGGAGGAGGGAACAGAGCCAGGAAAAGTACTGGAAAATAAGAGCAAAGAGCATTATAGGAAGAAGTGGTAGGGGAAAAAAAGATGGTAGGGCCCAAGATGGCCCAGAGCCATTCAGAAGTGGGAAGAAGAATCAATGTAACCCAAGAAAGGACAGGAATACCTTTTCTTCTTGTCCACTTGTACCCATCTCAAGCCCCACCATGGTTCCTCCTCTGAAGTGTGGAACGAGGAGTTGGGGGACTCACAGCCAGGCAAAAAAAACAAACCCAAAAAACTCTTAACAGGAATGGGAAGGTCATTACACATATTTACTTGACTCAAGGTTCCCCGCCACCAGCCTAAGGGGGGGAGGGGTCCACTGGTGTTATTTCTACTATAATATAAAATTCAATTTGGAAAGTTTTTTTCTGATGATAAAAAATACATAGTTATGCTAGAAAACTGGGAAAATGTCAAAGAATGAAGAAGCAAAAAGACTATCACTCCCACTCCCTCTGATAACCATCTACAGGTTGGCGTATTTTCTTCCAGCCCTTCTTTTTTTTTTTTTGCGGTACGCGGGCCTGTCACTGTTGTGGCCTCTCCCGTTGTGGAGCACAGGCTCCGGACGCGCAGGCTCAGCGGCCATGGCTCACGGGCCCAGCCGCTCTGCGGCATGTGGGATCTTCCCGGACCGGGGCACGAACCCGCGTTCCCTGCATCGGCAGGCGGACTCTCAACCACTGCACCACCAGGGAAGCCCCTTGCAGCCCTTCTTTAGTGCATTATTTACACCATTGTGATGATATATTCAAAATTTGATATCAGAGTGTTATTTCTAAACATATTCTAAGAGCTTTAGTTGAAGCAACAAAGGAACATGCAGTGGTGATGGGCGGTGCTCAGATTAGGGGTACAAGGCCCAGCAGGTTGTCACCTCTACACATGTGTCTCCTGCTGTACATTTGGTGCTCAACACGCCACCCCTAGCTCCAGAACTCTAACACGGCACCTCGTGGGATTCTCTTTTCTCCACAAATCCTTGGTAGTCCTTTCCCCCCGCCCCCAGGAATGCCCTTACTGTCCTCTTTAGGGGGAAAAAAAAAGTATTTGAGTAATGCATGAATACATGCTTAGAAAAATTGTAAATGACATGAAAAAACACGGAGTAAAAAAATATGTGTATCTGTAGACATGTTATAGTTATGTAAGTATATAAACATTTATATTTATACATTATAAAGGTATATTTATAAATATGGTGATAGTGGTTAACAGGGAAAAATGTATACATATATGTATGTACATGTTGGGGTGTCTGTGCATCTTATACATATTTTTACTCTAAAATTGATTAGCTTATGCTGATTATTATGGCCCTTGATATTTCCACTCTGAGAGTCTTGTCTGTATCAGCAAATGTAGATCCACCTCACTCTTGTTAATGGCTGTGCAGTGTTCCAGCCTATGGATGCACAGAACTGTAGTTAGTTCTTCCCTTATTCATGAGCATTTAGGTCGTTTCCATTTGCCATTAATAAACAGTGCCATGTTGAACATCTTGGTATACGTGTGCCTAGCTTAGTAGGCATGTGTGAGTTAGTTCTATATGGCAAATGCCTAGAATCCCTGGATAGGTGGGGCAAAGCTTACATGCATTTAAAATTTTGGTAGCTCCTGCCAAATCGTCCATCAAAGAATTGTTCTAGTTTCCTCTCCTGTCAGCAGTGTTTGAGCTTGCCAGTTCCCTATACTCTTGCCAAGATAAGACATTATCATCATTTAAAAATTTTTACCAATCTAGTAGGCAAAAACACTGGTGTGAATGCCTCTGCTTGGAAGAGAGATTGTTTGTTTCATATGTTTATTTGCCATTTGTATATCTTTTATAAATGGCCTTTGCCGGTTTTTAAAAAATTGGCTTATCTTTTTCGTATTCATTTTAGAAGTTCTCTTCACGTATATAGATATTAGTCTCTCGTCTCTTAGGTAATGTTGCACATGTTTTTCCCCTGCTGTTACTTTATCAGAAGGCTCAAAAGTGAAATGCCTTAAGTGACCAGGCAGGTAAAGTCAGTGAGTAGAGGGGTGGGTGACAGTTATGATGAACCAGAGAGCTACTGACCCACCGCAAGAGGGCTCCACCTCTTGGCCACAGCTGGTTACTGCCGCAAAGGCGTGAGGATTGGTGTTGCCAGACATCCAGATATCCTGATTTTTTTTTTTTAGATGTTGGGGGTAGGAGTTTATTAATTTATTTAATTTTGCTGTGTTGCGTCTTCGTTTCTGTGCGAGGGTTTTCTCTAGTTGTGGCAAGCGGGGGCCACTCTTCATCGCGGTGCGCGGGCCTCTCACTATTGCGGCCTCTCTTATTGCGGAGCACAGGCTCCAGACGCGCAGGCTCAGTAGTTGTGGCTCACGGGCCTAGTTGCTCCGCAGCATGTGGGATCCTCCCAGACCAGGGCTCTAACCCGTGTCCCCTGCATTAGCAGGCAGATTCTCAACCACTGCGCCACCAGGGAAGCCCCTGGATATCCTGATTTTTAAATGTTGGCAACTGACTCCATTTAAAAAGCAAACAAGTCAACAACAACACAAACCTTGTAGACAAAACAAAGTGTAGGCCACAACTGGCCTTGTGAGCGTCCAGTTTTGGACTTCAGGTTTATAGGGTATTCTAATAGGAAGAGATGTTAAATATTTTGTAGTCAGATTGGTCATGTGGGTCCTGTGAGCTTTTTATCTTGCATATGAAAGGCTTCTACAAGCCAAGACTAAATACTCATCTGTCTCGTGCTCTATTACTTTTATAGTTTTGCCACTTTACCTTGACATCTGAATCTGCTTGGGATTTATTTCCATATAAGGCATACTATAAGGTTATAACATGTTCTCTGAATGTCCCAATAGCCTTAATTCTTCACTGTGATTTGCCAAATCAATTATCCTATGCTAATTTTCCTGTTTTCAAACTGGTAGATTGGCCATTCCTCTACCTATGACACATTTTAAAATTTTTATAGCTTGGGAATCTTGTTTGGTAGAACAGACACCCATTTGTTCTGTTTTGTTTTATCTTAATTCTCTTGGTTATTCTTCATACATTTTCTCCTTCAGATATACTTTAGAATCGCCTTGTCAAGTCCTGGTGGAATTTTGACTGGAATTACATTGTATCATAGGTTAACCTGGAGGAGGATTCACAGATTTCTGATACTTTGTAGCTGGAAAGATGGCTTGCTTTTCCATGTATTTATTTGGGTCTTTTGGTCCTTCAGAAAAGGTTTCTTTTATTACCTTTGCATGGTCTGTGTACTTTTTGTTAGAATTATTCTTAGGTATTTTCTAGTTATTATTGTTCTTTTTTTATCCTTCCACTTTTTTTTCATTATATTTTTTTAAATTGGGTTCCATATCGGAATTTGTACCCTTCTTTATCTCCTTCATACTTTGACTCAGATCTGACATGGTCTCAACCAGGAGTCCCTTCCTGAACCCTCAGTTGGGCTAAAGGATAAAACTTCATGCTTTTCTAGCACACTCCTCACCTTGAATTGAAATCTTCTGTTTATGTTTGTTTCTCTCCCTTCCAATTGGGGCCTATTGCTTATTCAATGCTTATGTATATTCATACTGCTAACATGGTGTCCAATAAATAATGGATGCTTAAAAATACTTGGCTTTTTTGAATCGTGGAATATATTTTACATTATTGTAATAAAAGTGAACACGTATATATATATATACGTTTTGTTCTTTTAAAATGTAACATTACAGTGAACATTTTTATCTTGTAAGTCATTATAGTTATTTAGAATAGCTGAAAAATAATAGTAACATTTAATTAAGCATTTACTCTGTACTAGGTACTGTTCCTACTGCTTTGCATGTATCCTCTCACTTATTCTTCACAAGGATTATATTAGTCAGGTTCCCATTTTACAGAGGCAGAGACCGAGGCACAGAAAGTAAATTGCTCAAGGTGTGTAAAAAGTAGAGTAACCGAAATGTAAATATCCGTTGACTAGATATAATCGTTTAGAGAGTTTATAAGTTTTGGCTTAATGACTGACAGTGACCATCTTCATGCAGACCTTTAACTTTTCCTTTTAAAAATGATTTTCTTCCAAGGAGTGGAGCACAGATATTTCATGCTACTGCATTGCTTTTCAGAATTTCATTGTGTGTGCCTCAGCCTCACCTCAGCCTCTGTGCCAGCATTATTCTAGTCACTATTGGAATAAACAACAAAGGTGATATGGCTCCTGCCCAGAAGGAGTTTATAGTTGAGTTTGG